AACTCATGCTACCTCTGAGCCTCATTAAACGTCTGAAAATGTAACTACAAGCCACTTTTGTGTTCTTCTGTGCCACCTCTGTAGTCCAAATGAATTTATTAATACTAATTTCATATGATTGGTAACTTATTTGTCTTATTCTACAGCAATTCTTCTTGTAATTAGGAGTGCTTGTCCTCCTAATTAAAAAATTTAGGAGCACCTTCTGATCAATAATCAAAAATTCTGATCAAAAATTAGCCTTCCTAATACGAGGTAAAATTTGACTCCTTAAAGTGACTTTCTTTTTACCGGCATCATTTTCATCGTTGTCAAATTCAAAAATGTATGTTTATAATCTTTTTAAAATTTCTATTTAAAACAATATGTAGAATAAGACAAATAAGTTACCAATCATATGAAATTAGTATTCATAAATTAATTTGTACTACAGAGGTGGCACAGAAGAACACAAAAGTGGCTTGTAGGTACATTTCCATACGTTTAATGAGGCTCAGAGGTATGCAATTAAATTAATAAATGCATGTGGAGATTAATGTTTTAAATATAAAATTTTGAATACAGAAATATGATTTAAATAACTGAAATGATATGCTAAAAATGAAACTAAATCAGCCAGCAGGTGGCAGCAAGTCACTGATTTTATCACTGAATCATTCATTCAATTGATTCGTTCGAACGACTGAATCATTCAGGAATGATGCAAGTGACTGTCTTTATGAACTGACGGAAATCCGTTGTGGCGACGGAACTTTAATCCCTGCGATAATCTTGTGCTGTGTTCACACAGAGTGCATTACCGGTAATGTTACAACTTCTAATACCGGTAAATTGCCAGAATGAATTTCCGGTATTTTTGAAAAGGTCCTGTTCACACGTGATCTCTTAACGGTAATTTACCAGTAAAGACTATATGTGCGATAGGGGCTAATGTTGCTTTTGGGCTGATTTTTAAACTCAAACAAACATATCAATGTGCCATACACCCAGTGTTTACACTTTTCAGGATGTTAGCCAACAAATGGCTTACTTATAGCTGACTGTGCACATTAAACTGGGATACAAGAAACTGTTTTAAAATAAAAAGTACAATCACCAATCTTTGACAATCTAAGAAAACTGAAATAAAACACTGTTCCTTACACCTAGCTGGAAGAGGAACTGGTCAGGTCATATGATTTAACTCAACAATGATCTCCTTTCACAATGGGATGTGTATTTGTGTTTTTCTTACCGCCGACACCTGCTCAAGCAGCTCAAACTTTTTTATATTAGCATCCCATTTCACACGTAGTCCATTGATTTCAGGTTTCAAGCAGTCCCACACTTTCTCTGGACTGCCATTGACAATCCCCTCCCCCTTATACCTGAAAACCCCAAAGAACACACAATCACTGCTCGTGCATATGGGGGACGAAGGTTAAAGTCACTGCTGTTATGATGTTTGCACAAGATGTCGACAGCATGTAAAATGCTACAAAAAGCAAAACATTTAATATATGATTTAAATATAAATTAATTAGTGCTGTCAAATCGATTAATCATGATTAATCGCTTCCAAAATAAAAGTTTGTTTACATAATATATGTGTGTACTGTCTATACTAATATAAATATATAAATACATACACATACATGTAGGGATGTAACAATTCACTCAACTCACGATTCGATTCACGATTATTATAATTTTTTTTAACAAAATGAGATTTAAGACAAATTATAAATGAAATGTGTCCTTTTATTATTGCTTGGACAAAATGCTGCACATTTCTTTGTGAAATTGATATATAATACTATAATAATATATTAATATAGCATATGCATATTACTGCTCTTTTGTTGGTTTTGATTGCTTCTATTGTCCTCATTTGTAAATCGCTTTGGATAAAAGCGTTTGCTAAATTAAGGTAAATGTGAATAACAAAACTAAATTGAAATTTTAAAACAAGCCCCAAATCAAATAAATAAGTAACACAAATAAAATAAATCTCTTCATATAAACAAAATCAGGCTTTGTCTGTGCTCTTTCCTTTTAAAATTAGAGGCAACCACTGCATTTTAATCATGACCCAAACAAAGATGCTGCATACATGCAACATGAGCAGTTTTTAATCTAAATTACATTGTATAATTTCGAAATTTGAAGCAAAAACAGAATGGTTTGACTTCAGTTTTGTGAAACTATACATAAAAATATCTGCATGAAACAGAAACAGCAGACGAGCTGAATGAGAACGCAGATTCACTCTCTGCCAGCAGGTGGCACTTAAAGCGTTTTCTTGGTTTCCGCTGTAAACAAAGCAGCGCTGCACTTATGAACTTTAATATGCTTTATACAGAGGCGAGATGAAAACAAAAAATACCATTTAAACTTTTCTAAAGACAGTAAGTTCCCCTCAAACATGCATTCATATAAACTCCTACCACTAAATGAATCGCGATTTGTTTAGCATCTCAATCGATTTGAATCGTCACATATTTAAATCGATTTTCAACCGGCTGGCAGTTATTTGTTACATCCCTACATATACATTTAGGAAATATTTACATGCATATATATTCATATTTATATATGATTTATAGTATATATAAATATCACATATATATGTATTTATATATACATATAAATATACACAGCACACATATATTTTGCAAACACAAAGTTTTATTTCGGATGCGATTAAAAGCGATTAATCGCTTTGACAGCACTAAAATAAATGTAAACAAAAGAATAACTTTACCTATAACATATTACTGTACTATATATGTTTATTATGCACAATATTACAAGGTTCCCACCTTTTGACCAACAATTTTTTTTTAATGACTTTTTAAAGACATACGGTTAATACCATTTTTGATAACAGTGATAAAAACAGTGATTCGTTGTTTAAAAAAAGTATTTTATTTTAGATGCTCAAAATAATGACATTCTGGTAACTTAAAGGGGTCATATGATGCTGCTAAAAAGAACATTATTTTGTGTGTTTGGTGTAATGAAATGTGTTTATGTGGTTTAAAGTAAAAAAGCACACACTATTTTCCACATACTGTACATTATTGTTTCTCCTCTATGCCCCGCCTTTTTGAAACGATTTTTACAAAGCTCATCGGTCTGAAAAAGCGAGGTGTGCTGTGATTGGCCAGCTATCCAGTGCGTTGTGATTGGCCGAATACCTCAAGCGTGAGACGGAAATGTTACGCCCCTCACCATACTGTTGATGCCGTGTCCGGCCGGAGCGACGAGACAAAAACATTAAAACCCATTACAAACGAGGCATTTGTTGCATCCAGTGGGGACATAATTACTGATTATAATGACTTATACTGTCTTTTTACGCGTTGCGTTGCATTGCATCGCGCCGCGTAAACATAAAACTCTGTCTGCATTTGTGATCGGAGAAATGACTGTGCTACTCTACACTGCCCAAAACTTGCGTGTGAATCATCAGTGGCAAATCCTTTAAATGAAAACGTACTTACGTGAGTCAGAACTGCCGGCATTGTAGGCTAACGTTACTCTCCCAGGATCAGTAAACAGTAAACAGCTGCACACATCTGGATATTTGGGTTAAACTGTTCTGGAACAGTGTTATAAATACAACTTAACCACTGATTTGTAGTCGTGTCCTCTTTTGGAAGACCAAACAAAGTAGTTTCGCTTTCACAACGAAAAACATAGCGGCCTAGCGTTAGGGGAAGCCCCGGCTTAGCGTCCACTGAGGCCGGGATAGAGTGAGCTGAGGCCGGGCTAGCTAGTCTTTGCAACTTTACAGATCTTCTTTCTGCACCAAGAGCTTGCAACACTCCAAAGAGAAAGGAAAACTTGAAATCGCATCATATGACCCCTTTAATGTTTTATATTATTTAATGTTTAATTATAGAAATTTAATTAATGATAGAAAAGCAATAAAAGAAAACCAAAGCGTTTGTTTACAAATTTAAAATGGTTTAATTAAGAAAAAAAAAGCATGCATATATGGCATAAATAAACATTTAATTTTGAGTAGCCTACTTTATACCAAAATCTTAGCTATAGAAATGCAAGTAGTCAAAACAGACCCTATTTGAAGACTAACCCGGTGATTATACCAAATAAATATCTGCCAAGTGAAATATTTCAGAGCTGAGCATAACTAAAGCAATGCATATTTAATAGAGGAATGTCCTTGACACTTTGGGATTTATTTGTCATACCCTGACAGCATGAGCATGGATATGCATTGATCTCAGTCTCACAGGCTAAATATAATGTCCACTTTTATGAGCGCGTAATATTTCTCATATAATAGCCTATGTAGCAGGAGTTTCACTAACTAGAGTATTTATACAACAGGAGCACGAGAAGTCAGCACATATGACATCACGATGACAAATTCAGGATCATACTGTAATGTACAAATGTATACTTACACGTATCCCGCAAATTCACAAGAGGGTCTCCAATACACCACAACATCATTCTAGAAAGAAAACCCAATGCGTGTTTATAGACAAACAGCTGCAAAAGATGACAAAATGACACATTTCTGTTTCTCACGTACAGTTTTCTTGCATGTTTTCCATCCGGACTCGTCTTTTCTGTAGCTCAAGAGACGATCTTCCACTGATCTGGCCGTGTGCATGTAATCCATGACGATGGAGAGCGTGTAGTTTTATTTTATATTACTTTATCGGTTCGTCCTCTAACAGCACATGTATCCAAAGCCTTCTATCGCGAGTGACCGGTTGCGACCTGCTAAATATCGTCAAATTAAACAATTTATCTTCGATTCTTCCGGGATCTTTGTTCAAGTACGTCCAATGTCCATAAACTATCTGTGGCCACAAGTAAAATCTGCCAGTTTCTGGTATAAAAGGTCAGATGCTTCCAGTTCATTCATTAGTTACAGATGATCACTGTGACTGTCATCGTGACCGACCGGATAATAATCGATACAGTTCTATAGAGATCGGCAGAACGATTCAGTTAAACATGCGCGATCAGAAAAAAACTAAAAGGAGACAATTAAAACGCATAATGCCACAAAATCATCATAATAAAAAAAAAAAAAGCAATCAGCACAAGGCCACTTCCTTAGTCTGTCCTCAGAAGAATGTTGCATTCTGGGAATTAGAGTTTTCAGGGTGGATCCTGTTTTACAGTACATTGAATTGTCCCCATTGTCATAGGTCAGGGCTCAGGAAACTTTTTTGACCAAAGAGCCTTTTTTCCCTCCATTTTTGGTTAATGCATTTCCCCAAAAAGCCACAGTAAAAATTCTGCAATATTATTATTATTTTTTTTTTTTAAAGAAGTTACACTCTAAAAAATGCTGGGTTAAATACAACCCAGTGCTGGGTAAAATAGGGACAAACCCAGCAATTGGGCTGTTTTGACCTAGCCCAACCTTCTGGGTAGTAACCCAACCGCTGGGTCAAAACAACCCATTTGCTGGGTTTGTCCCTATTTTACCCATCACTGGGTTGTATTTAACCCAGCATTTTTTTGAGTGTAATAAAGAAGTTGCAATATAGAATTAGCTGTGCAAGGCTTTTACTGTGAACTTAAGTTACCACATGAAGAGCATAAATCCTCTTCAGAGCGAGTGATCGAGTAAAGAACAACTCACAGTGCTTACATCGGCTACTCAACAAGGCGGGCATTTGGTCATATTTCTGTCACTCAATGAATCTCTTGTTTACATTGTGTCAATGCTTTCTTTCTTATAACGAATGGATTCGCAAGCCTTTTGAGCGGTGAGTGGATTCTAACAAACGTTTCTGATTGGCCATTGCATTTAAGAAATCAACAGATATGTCTACACTGCAATGTAAATAGAGACATTTGATGTTCTGCGAGAGCGCAAACACGACTACACTAGAGAGCTGTTATTACAGCTTCAACTGAGGGTGCTCTTACTTTTGTTTGCACCCCCCCAAAAAACGGACCTGGTTTACTGAATGTGTAGGCATTATGCAACTTGGTATTTGTGTAGTTAATAAATGTATCTAAATTGTTCTAGGTTGAACCGTCTCGTATTAGTGATTTAATATAGAACTTGGTCTATTTCAGTTTATTATAAAAAGTGTGCCCCCCTACGAAAACTAAATGCTCCCTCACCCCACCCAATTCTATGGCCCTGTCCCAAATGGCATTCTAAACCCTCACTGTCTTCCTCCGAGTCCGCACTTTCATGACGTAATGCTGCTTAGACTGCCGGGTTGATGTCGGCTGTGTAGCTCGCAGACTCGCAAGCACCCTTCTGAATGCTAAAAATGACAAATGGGACAAACTCAATTCCTAGAGGGCCGGAGCCCTGCAGAGTTTAGATTCAACCCTGCTCCAACACACATACCATGTTTTTTTTTCAAATAAGCCTGAAGGACTTGATTAGTTGAATCAGGTGTGTTTAATTAGGGTTGAATCTAAACTCTGCAGAGCTCCAGGCCCTCCAGGAATTGAGTTTGACACCCCTCCCCTACAGTCTCGTGGACTTAAAGCAGCACTATGTAACCTTTTCTGTGTTCAAAATTTGCAAATTGTATATAATGAGCGAGTACATCATGAAATCATCTTTCAAACCGCGTTTTTTTGTCTTATTTCGAATCACTACGTTACCCTTATAATCAGAGTTGGGGGTAACTCATTACAAGTAACCCGAGTTACGTAATCAGATTACTTTTTTTAAGTAACTAGTAACGTAACATTACTTTTTAATTTACAAGAGATTATCTGAGTTACTTTTTCAAATAATAACGCAAGTTACTTTTTTTCCCCAATTTATTGATTGACAGCTCTCCTGTCCCCAGATGTTACTGTAGTTCTAAAATAAATATGAATATGCATTAATTCATCTCACTCACAAAAAAAAAAAAACAGATTCAGTATTCCTCAAAATGAATAAAAATAATGCTACTCAGAATATGAGAATAACTCATAAACCTGCAATAATTAAACGTTAAACAACACAAATATCCTTTATGTATTTAATCCCATTCTATTAACCATGAAGCAATGAAGCTTATTCATTTCACTTTTGGTGTGAGAAGGCTTTTATATTTGCCAAAATGTAACTTTTTTATTTTAAAAACAAACAAGCAAGCCCTGTCCAGATTTAAAATGTAACGCAAAAGTAACGTAACGCATTACTTTCCATAAAAAGTAACTAAGTAACGCAATTCGTTACTTTTTTTATGGAGTAACGCAATATTGTAATGCATTACTTTTAAAAGTAACTTTCCCCAACACTGCTTATAATAAGTACTTACATTTTGACTATTGTAGCCTGATCGGGTCGTCACCGCTGCGGAGTAACACATACCTGCGTGAATAGACATAAACTTAGAGAAGTAGCTCCGCTTGGAATGTTCTTCTGCGGGATGTGTTCAGTTCTGTTTATTAACCGCTAGAGCGCCAAAAGTTACATAGTGCTGCTTTAACGGACACATGCATGCAGCATTGTATGTCCTCAAGACCGAAAATGCACATAAGTTGTGACAGGGACAGGGCCTATATTAAGGTGACCGTACGTGCCCTTTTTCCCGGACACGTCCTGGCCAGGATTTATATATTGCCTAAAATATCCAGGTTTTGTCTTTGTCTTCCTGATTTTATACTTGCTGAAGGTAATGATCGAAAAGTAGTTTGACCAATAACATGCAGGCCATTGTACATAATCAACCGATCATGGCGTGTGAGAAGGTGTGATCTACAGAGAATGGTCAAAGCGATGCAAATATGCGTTCATTTTAGGTGTGTTCAACTTGAAGCGGAGCTGCGTAGACCAATCAGTGTTTGACATCAAAGTACCGCGAGAGCGATTCGAAAGTATAAGGAGCGGCTGCTCTCTATAGCTCTCACGGTACTTTGATGTCATAACACCGATCGGTCTGCGCAGCGCAAACGAAGCCAAACCCTGGATATTTGAGGTAATATAGAAATCCTGGCCGGGACGTGTCCGGGAAAAAGGACACGTCACCCTAGGCTATATGTTTGCCTGGGGGTCCTCAGTGCCAGCCTTTTACACCCAGTCTGCTTGATGTGGGTTTTTCACTGGAAGATTCTCACATTCTTATTTAAATGTATTTTATTTGAATACAGACCCAATCTTGAAGATGTTTGCAGCGTTGCATCACACAACAGAATCTACAAATGTCCAAACATTATAATTTATCATTTTTTATATCAGATTTAGATACATGCAAAGTACACTCATATAGGCTAGTCATTTCTTTGTGCTTTTATACTTCAACTTTTATATGATAAAACTGTATTACACTGAATACATGGCTCTGTTCAAAAACCGAGTAAGCTGCCTTGCTGTCTACTGCCTACATTAGTAGCTGACTACAGTGGAACTATTGTGGAACCTCATAAATGACTGATTTGGAACACACCTCATAGACAGCTACTGGTGCTCGGTGTCTGTCATTTGCATGTTGCTATGCTATATGCTAACATATTTTTTTAATCAATATTTTTCATTATTGAATGAAATGCACTATATTTATAACAAACACTTCTCTCAACTTTATCCACCATCTTGGATGGATTTTTGCTGCATTTCAGATGTAGTTGGAGGTGGGAATACTCAAGTTCCCCATTTGCGGCATCAACATTTTCTAGTCATGATGTGATCCAAACAACTTGCCTCACCTCCACTTAAATAACCAATGGAACATCAACTTTAGTTGGCATCAACTTGAAAACTTTGCTTCTCCTTGAATCGGGGGTTGATTGATCTGCTCTGAATGAGTTGGATATCCAACCTCGAGCACCATTCAAGTGGTTATTTTTAAGTAGAAGTGGGGGAATCTCATAGATATGTATAGGTACATGCCGCATTCGACCGCTCCAGACACGTCGATGCGTCCGCCATCTTGGAATGGTCAATGTGTCATCACTTACAGTAGAAATCAATGAGTTTTCCAAGATGCCACAACATTGTGCAGCCTCTGGTTGTAAAAACCACCAACATTTTAATTCCCAAAGAAATGGGATAAACTTTTACAGGTGAGAATGAGTTGGTTTGTGCTTTTAAAATGTATTAAATCAATATTACAGGTTTTTAAACTATGGTAAGTTTTTTTAATGTTGTGTTAGCTAATGGCTTCATCTTGTTGTATTGTGTTAGTTAAGCAAAATCATCTGCTGAAGTCTATTGCAGATTTATATATTCATATGCGTATAACAACAGTTGCAGACACACAGTCAACTTGCTCTCAAGTGTTCATGGTCCGGCTTTGACCCCACCAATATGGAGGTGAGTTACATATAGTGGCCCATAGAAAAGCCACTAACAAGGCATCTATGTATACATGTCTATGGGAGAATTCAAGTTGTTTGGAATGCTGAATTACTCATGGTGCATTCTGGTAAAGGATGCATATGAAGCTGCATTACAATTTGGCCAGAAGAAGGCCTTTCAAGGCTGAAATACACTACAGGACTTTTGCCCAGAATTTTGCCCCAATTTGCAGACTAGACAAGTTGACCATAGTTGCCAAAAATCAGAGTCATTCTGTAGATTTTGAGCAGTCAGAGTTCACAGAAAATTGCGTAGTGGTAATGGTCACTGACTGATTTTATCCAGCTGGAGGATATCAAAAGTGTTTGATATGTTGAGCCAATTTTAGAACACATATTGTTTTCATTTGTCACATGTCTCCTAGCAACGACTAGGAACAACTTAAAAGTCATCATATGCCTAGTGTTTTAAAATCTGTTCTGATTTTAAAAGTCGTCTAATGTATTCCAGCCTTTAGAAGGCAGGATAATGCTGCAACCTACCTCATGAAACGCACTTGGTGTTGGTGTACACCTAAAATGCTTCCTACATAGAAAGCTTACCAGTGTTTTCGAGCAGAGCCATAATCTCGGTTTTAGCTCTAAACAGGTTAAACGTTGGAGCAGACAAGATCATTAGTGCCAGACACATTGAGTTTAACACTGCTCTTGGATTTAGTTTTGGTCAGCTTGGCGTTGGACTTCAGGTACTTCTTTTTGTTGTGAATGACCTGGATGTACTGGTCCGTGCTGCTGTTTTGTTGGTCACTACTGGACGCTAGCGATGCCGAATCCGACTCGGTCAGAGACGGCTCCACTTTATGCTTGGTCTTGGGCTTGACGTATGGTTCGCCGTACCTGTGAGCCGACTCTGGACCTCGGATGTTTGTCTGAGGGTCGTTCACCCAGTCTTCTTCCTGATCGCCCTCTTCTTCGTCGCCATATAAACCCTGCTCCATAGACAACTGACTGTTTATTGTATCGCCAATGTAGAATTGCGCGGTCTGATGGCGATCCGACAGTGGTCGTGGACGTTTCGACTGTCTGAACGACCCCCTCCTCGTGCTGCTCTTCGGATCTTCCTCCTCCTCTTCCTCGCTGAGGTGTGGCTGGTGGCTTCGGTGAGGAGGACGAGGAATGTAACACTTCACGTTACGTGGATAAAGCTCTACGATCTCCGTTGGTTCGTCCGCGAGGCGGTAATGTCTCGGTATGCGTGTATTTGAACGCATGACCTTCTTGCGAGCTTCGTGTTCGTTGACGATGACGTAACGTGTCGAATGTGCCCGGTGGCCCACGTAGCTCTGAGCCGTGATTACGGCGGGCTCGGTGTGCATGGGCCGAAGGGTCTTCCGAAACAGCGGATCGGAGTGGATGTTTTCTGCATACCTTGCACACGGCTTGTAGGCCATGTTGTGGTAGGACTTGGAGTGGCAGGAACCGCTGGTGCTGCCCAAGTACCCAGAATGCCTGGATATCAGAGAATGCAACATATGACATGGATATGTATGCTTGAACATATTCACCTTACCTTTTATAAACTCAAGAAACAGACATTTACCTTTATGATGCAGCTTGTAATTTATGTTAAAGGAATAGTTCACACAAAACTGCATTTTTTTTGTCATCATTCACCATGTAGTTCCAAAACTTGTATTGTTCTTTCTTTGTGAAACAAAAAGGAGACGTTAAGCAAAAACTGGATGGTGATTTATACTGTCAAGGACTAAAAGCACCATAAAGCAATCTGCCCACATTCTTCCTAAGAGCTCACTTTGTGTTTCACAGAAAAAAGAAAATAATGTAGGTTTGGAATGACATGTTTTCAGTTTTGGTGAACTGTCCCTTTAATTAAGTAGTATGAAGTGCATTGCATTTGAGACCCTGCCTGTGAAAACCCAGCTAAAGTCATTTTTTTTGTGTGATTAACTGTTTTCTACATAAAATCATCCTTAATAAAGATGTAAAACATTCTGTGAAAATATAACCTTTATATCTTTAATATTGACTGAGTACAGCAATGTCAAAGATTGAAATCATAGTGAAATTTATGGTTGAAATCAAACTTTGACGCTTGTTATCTCATAATTAGATTTTAAGACTTTAGCCTGGATTTCACAGACAGGGTCACTTTTTATGGAATGAAAGGTGAAGCCAAATGAAATTTTACTCTCAAAGTGCAAGTACTGAAGACCCTATCCATGAACTGATATGAGTAATATAATTATCTGAAAAAAAAAGGTATTTAAGTTTTTTCTATGAACAGCATCTACATTTACATTTATTCTTTTAGCAAACACTTTTATCCAAAGCGACCTACAAAGAAAGAACATCACAAGCAATGTATCATGAGTCTCACAGTGCCAAGTATAATATACGTATAATATATTTTAAATTGTCCCTCAGTTTAAAAAATAAAGTGAAAAAGCACATTTACAGTAATGCCCATAAACAAACAGGAGATTTAATTAGTGTTATAAAATAAACTGCTGGAGAAATGAGATTATATGAAATCCAAAGACCTTATCCTGTTTCGCCCGGGTTCCTTATTGTAAATCACAGATCTGTTAAATGAACTGAAATACATCATGATGATATTCAATTTCGAGTAACTCACGGTCTGCAGCTGCAGTCTCAGCTGGCTGTTGGTGACTTTGAGTGATCTAGCGATGGATTGGAGGTAGTAGATCAGCATGCTGAAAGAGACAGTGACGAACAGCACAAGGTTGAGTAACTGAAGGCATCTGTCCTGCTCGCCTGGTCGAATTATGTTGGCTTGACAGAACCAACATGCTGATATTGTACAAACAGGGGTAGGGATTTTTTCTAACTCTCTAACTATAGACCAAAACTTGTATGTAACTCCTAAAGTTTTCAATCTACATCCTCCAAACTCAGCAGCAATGAAGCTAGGCTCTTCCTTAATTGGATTAACGTGTTTTTTCCTACAGCAGACTATCAAAAACACCTTAATTACCATATATCCCACTTATTGTTGGGGGGGTGCACATTCAATTTATCAAAAGTGACAGTAAAGAAATGTATTTACTTTCTATTTGTCAAAAAAAAATTATATATATATATGACACTGATTTCTGGAGGATTATGTGACAATGAAGACTGGAGTAATGATGCTGAAAAATCAGCTTTGCATCACAGGAATAAATTACATTTTAAAATATATCGCAGTAGAAAACAATTATTTTAAATTCTAATAATATTTCACAATATTTATCTTTCTACTCTATTTTGATCAAAGGAATGCAGCCTTGGTGAACAAAGGAGACTTTTGAGGTCTCCTAAAACACCTTCATAACCACTTAAGCCATGCATAACCACCAAGAACACTAATCTTACAGATAAAACTTTGTCAAGCCAACAGCTATGTTTGTTGTTGATGAGACTCATGCCTTTTTCTAGTTATTTTCTCTGTGGTAATTAAGGCGAGTGTAGACAAAAGTACTTACAAGAGTAGAAGCAAAGCAGGCAGCACCACCACAGGACTGGTGACGTAACTCATCACTTTACTGAACCACAGTGGGAAGTCATTGGCAATAGTTTCGGAGATGATGTCGTAAATCTTCTCCTGGCCACTACAGAGGCATGCATTTTCACATAAATTATAAATAATTATTATACTGTGCTAAAATGTGATTCATAATGCTGAATTGTTCTGCTGTCCAATATTTTTGTGATGCTTAACTGTATGAAGCAGGCAAATGATTTTCTACATATCAATGCTGGTAACATTTTAAACGAGTTTCAACTCAAATCAGTTTCATGTGTGTCTATTCCTTTAGTTAGCAAGATAATGTACAGTCCGCTAGGCATCATTGCAAAATAAATCTCCTCAGGTTGATACAAGACTGATCATCACCCTGTATTTATTTTGCACTAATGATAAGTTGACTGTATGCAGTTTGTTATTAATTGCAGGGGCAGTGATATTTTAGTAGAATTAAAGTACTATTATAGTTTTTATTCATTTAAAAGGGTCCTATTATGCTTTTTCACTTTTTCAACTTTAGTTAGTCTGTAATGTTGCTGTTTGAGCATAAAAAAAGATCTGCAAAGTTACAAAGCTCAAAGTTCACTTTAAAAGGAGATATTTTATTTAATAGAAATCACTTTTCAAAAACTACAACGAACGACTCGTTTGGACTACAACGCATATTTTCCAGGATTTGTGATATCACAAATACCGACGAATGGGACGAGACCTGGTTGAGCTGCACTAGAGAAGGCAGCGAGTGTTATCACTATGTTGGAGACATGCTAGCTTTCCCAAGACAGACGAACTTAGAGTGATTACAATCATCCGGGTTTAAATCAAGCTCAAATTGATTTGATTTTGACGCAATATTTACACTGAAGCTCACGGCTTACTTACGGCTACGGTAAGGGGCATGACATTTCCCGACCAGGCGCCGACTGCTGCCAATCACAACACACACTGGCCCAGCTAACCAATCACAACACACACTGGCCCAGCTAACCAATCACAGCACATCATTGTTCAGTCGACGTGCAGCGAGTGGGTCTGAAGAAGTAGCTGTTTAGCTTAGTTTACTTGCATATTGTTTTCAGAGTCCGTCATGTTCAGGCCCCGTGTTAAAAGACGTTAGCCAATCATAACAGTGGGCGGTTACACTGAACTCTTAAAGGGGAAAAAACCCAAAACCGACTGTTTGAGTCAGAGGATGAGAAACAGGGTGGAAAAAGGTCATAAATCACAAATTTTTTTAAAATGTTTTTTCATCCAAAAAACTTTAGTAATATTATAATTGCACCTAATGGAACATAATAAAACAAACCAAAAAAAAAACATTAAAGTTCCTTTAAACTAAATGAAGATGGGAAATGCTGCCTTGACAAACAGCTGAAATAAAATAAATGCAAGTTTTTTTTAAATGTGACACTGGACCACAAAACCAGTCAAAAGGGTCAATTTTGCAAAATTGAGATTTATACATCACATGAAAGCTAAATAAATGAGCATTCCATGGATGTATGGTTTGTTAGGACAGGACAATATTTGGCTGAGATACAACTATCTGAAAATCTGGATTCTGAGGGTGCAAAAAAATCTAAATATTGAGAAAATCACCTTTAAAGTTGTCCAAATGAAGTTCTTAGCAATGCATATTACTAATAAAAAAATTAGTTTTTATATATTTACAGTAGGAAATTTACAAAATATCTTCATGGAACATGATCTTTACTTAATATACTAATGATTTTTGGCATAAAAGAAAAATCTATAATTTTGACCCATACAGTGTATTTTTGGCTATTGCTACAAATATACCCCAGCGACTTAAGACCGGTTTTGTGGTCCAGGGTCACAAATATATATTTTACATAAAAGCAACTATACACAAATATAGTGTATTGCAATGTTTTTACATTTCCATTAGCATATACTTATCTCGGGGATAAATAAAAGTATTTCAACATCCCAAAAATGGCACATCACATTAAAATGATGTAAACACAGGACAGTTTTTTACCTGAAGGGTCCACAGTACTGAGACGGCCGATACCTCACAATGGCAAAAATGGTTGGTAACATACACAGGAAAAGCATGAAGAGAAGCATCGTCAGATAGAAGTTATTAGATCTGGGGAATAAAATACATTTCAATTAAAGACAATCCCTGTGATCGACTTTGAATTCACTTAGATAGACAAAGAAACTACACTGATTTGACTGTTTCATAATATCTGATAAGTTACACACTCCCTGCCTGCAGTGCGATGATTCCTTTTTATCGCATAAAACACAGCACTATCACTGAAGATAAAATATGCTTAGACTGCACGGTAACGTTTCGCCTCACATCTGCAACTGCCTGATAAAGCAATGAAGATGCAATTACATAAATCTGAAATAGAGGCCGAGACTGATGCTTTGACCAACCAAGTCGCTTGACACACTGAAGCATCCACTGTTATCTCTGTACTCACCACACTAGAAAATGAGAGGGATTTGAATTCAGTCAAGCAGAGAACGAACGTGTAGCGTTCAGAGAGTCCCGTCCCCACTGGATGCAACAAATGCCTCGTTTGTAATGGGTTTTAATGTTTTTGTCTCGTCGCTCCGGCCGGACAGTGCATCACAGTATGTTAGGGGCGTAACATTTCCGTCACACGCTTGAGGTATTCGGCCAATCACAACGCACTGGATAGCTGGCCAATCAGAGCACACCTCGCTTTTCAGACCGATGAGCTTTGTAAAAATCTCTGCTTTTCAGAAATGCATGGCATAGAGGAGCAACAATAATGTGCAGTATGTGGAAAATAATGTGTTTTTTGAACCTTAAACCGCATAAACACATTTCATTACACCAAATACACAAAATAATGTTCTTTTTAGCAGCATCATATGACCCCTTTAAATGTTAACTGCAAACATTCAATATTAAAGGAGGTTTTATGATTAAAATGAATAAAACAAAGCTCCCTCATTATTTTTAATGCACCTATCTATCTATCAGAATGTGTGCAGTTACAGTATATTGCTGGATTATTATACATTGATTATTCACATTCACTTTGATTTAGAGGTTCGTTCAAATCCCTAACTTACTTTAGCAAGCACCACTAAATATGAAAAATGCCTACTTCAGTAGAGAGGAAAATAATAAATGGACTTTGATCCCATGCAGCGTTATGTAATTATGAAATGAGGTAATTAAGTATTTTAAGTTTTTTAATAAAGAAAGATTTTTGCATTCCTACAGATGTGTGGAATCTGGCTGAACATCACATTACTCATTCTTTTAATGAATGTCTTGTAATAATTATACAAACAAATTATTCCAAATAATTACAAAACCTGAAAAAATGAGGAAATAAATATTTCATATTCAAAGGAATATATAATATAGCAATGTTTTACATAAAAAAGGAATTTTAATATTTAAAAAAAAAATCATGAAATTGTTTTATAATGAACTTTGAATTGAACTGAAATGAGGGTTTGATCAATACATTTCCATGACTTTCATAATTTACACTTTTTTGAGATTCCTAAGGATTTTAACATGCATTTTTTGAGACTGAACTCAACACAGTGCAGCACTGACCTCAGATCAGTGCTCAATGAACGTATACGCTCTAATGACCTAATTCTGCCTCACTGACCTGGAGGCCCTAAAGACCTGCTGATGGGGAACATTACAGGTCAGCACAGCCCAGCTCCGCAGGTACATCAAGCCGACGAGCTTCATGACATTAAAGGCGGGCAGACAGGGTGAAAAGAATGCTCCCATCCTACAGGGAGAGACAAAGACACCGGAAAGATTGATTTCCCATCTTAAAGGAGTTCTGCTTGTGCACCTATAGCTTCAGACAAGTCATTCTTGTGTGATTACAGTCTGAAGCTGGAGGGCAATGGAGCATTGAGGACCTGTGTAAGGAGCACCAAGGGAAGAGGACAGTTTAGTGCAGGTATAGATAGGTAAGCTCATATATATATACAGAGAGACAGATAGTATTTTAAATTAGGAGTGTAAAAAAAAATAATTGTGATGTATTTCATTTTATTCTGACAATCATATTTTAGATAATGTATTGATAAATGATGAATCATCACTCACTTACCATATCATTCCTTGGTTGTATATCAGATGAAGAACATTTTCTGCTATTTTAAATTCACCATATTCTGGCTGGAAAAGGGAATTTAATTTAATTAAAAAGGGAATTTATAAATGCATGGTATAGGACAGGGTTTCCCAAACTGGGGTTTGGTTCACACGCTGATGAAAAGCTAATAATTAAACACATCTTAAAAATTTAAAATTAAAATAAAGCATTTAAATAAAAACAATGACAATGAAACTTACCAAAAAAAAAGTTAATTTTTATGGTTATGTCATGTGACCATCTTTCAGTATTAGATAACCGTAAATATGCAAATGTGTTAAATTATTTCAATATTAATGTAAGGGGTTTGGTTCACACGCTGATGAAAAGCTAATAATTAAACACATCTTAAAAATTTAAAATTAAAATAAAGCATTTAAATAAAAACAATGACAATGAAACTTACCAAAAAAAAGTTAATTTTTATGGTTATGTCATGTGACCATCTTTCAGTATTAGATAACCGTAAATATGCAAATGTGTTGTTAAATTATTTCAATATTAATGTAGAATTTTAGGAATTACTTCAAGTAAATATTTTAGCTCAAAGGGGTTTGGCTGACAAAAAAAAAAGGTTTGGGAATCCCTGTTATGGAAAATCAGAATACAAAACAAAAATGACAACTGTTAAATAAATTCACTTCCATTAACATAATGCTTTAAATCATAATGGCACACATTATTCAGCAGTTTGTGAGAGTCAACTCAGCATAATTTTGCAGATGCCCAATTTGACCCAAATTAAAATTAGTTTTCGTCCACTAGACTTTTTTGGGAAGTCATTTCATCAGCTAAACATTTGACACCAAGATACTTTAACAATACAACCCCCCAAAAAACAGATTTTTCATCTAGCCTTATTTTCAATTATGTTGTATAACTAGGATCTGTTGTAAATGTATTACTTTATATCACAGTTATTGTCTGTTTATTTAAACTGAGGTATTAGTAATTTTTTAAGGAACAATTATATTCCTGTGGGAATCACAGATGCTGACGAAAAAGCTTAAAAGTGATATTTTCAACGTTAAAATACTTCTACTTCAACGTTTGGGAAACATTGTGCTATTCTGTTTGGTTTCGCTAGTGGCAGAGATACTATACACATCATGGTTAACTTGTATTGAAACGGGAACATTGCTTAAAAGGTGTTAAATATGCAAAAAAAAAAGGTGCAAAAATATGTGCAATGTGACCCAAGTGGAGTCCTACACGCTTTTTGATAGTGTTTGAAAATGTGACCAATGTTTTCAACAGGTGCAGATTCTAGGCAGGCTTATCTATCGCTCATATATCTGCTTGAAAAACCTCTGAAAGTGTAAAAAAGGAATTTTAATATTTAAAAAAAAAATCATGAAATTGTTTTATAATGAACTTTGAATTGAACTGAAATGAGGGTTTGATCAATACATTTCCATGACTTTCATAATTTACACTTTTTTGAGATTCCTAAGGATTTTAACATGCATTTTTTGAGACTGAACTCAACACAGTGCAGCACTGACCTCAGATCAGTGCTCAATGAACGTATACGCTCTAATGACCTAATTCTGCCTCACTGACCTGGAGGCCCTAAAGACCTGCTGATGGGGAACATTACAGGTCAGCACAGCCCAGCTCCGCAGGTACATCAAGCCGACGAGCTTCATGACATTAAAGGCGGGCAGACAGGGTGAAAAGAACGCTCCCATCCTACAGGGAGAGACAAAGAGACCGGGAAGATTTATTTCCCATCTTAAAGGAGTTTTGCTTGTGCACCTATAGCTTCAGACAAGTCATTCTTGTGTGATTACAGTCTGAAGCTGGAGGGCAATGGAGCATTGAGGACCTGTGTAAGGAGCACCAAGGGAAGAGGACAGTTTAGTGCAGGTATAGATAGGTAAGCTCATATATATATACAGAGAGACAGATAGTATTTTAAATTAGGAGTGTAAAAAAAAATAATTGTGATGTATTTCATTTTATTCTGACAATCATATTTTAGATAATGTATTGATAAATGATGAATCATCACTCACTTACCATATCATTCCTTGGTTGTATATCAGATGAAGAACATTTTCTGCTATTTTAAATTCACCATATTCTGGCTGGAAAAGGGAATTTAATTTAATTAAAAAGGGAATTTATAAATGCATGGTATAGGACAGGGTTTCCCAAACTGGGGTTTGGTTCACACGCTGATGAAAAGCTAATAATTAAACACATCTTAAAAATTTAAAATTAAAATAAAGCATTTAAATAAAAACAATGACAATGAAACTTACCAAAAAAAAGTTAATTTTTATGGTTATGTCATGTGACCATCTTTCAGTATTAGATAACCGTAAATATGCAAATGTGTTAAATTATTTCAATATTAATGTAAAATTTTAGGAATTACTTCAAGTAAATATTTTAGCTCAAAGGGGTTTGGCTGACAAAAAAAAAAGGTTTGGGAATCCCTGTTATGGAAAATCAGAATACAAAACAAAAATGACAACTGTTAAATAAATTCACTTCCATTAACATAATGCTTTAAATCATAATGGCACACATTATTCAGCAGTTTGTGAGAGTCAACTCAGCATAATTTTGCAGATGCCCAATTTGACCCAAATTAAAATTAGTTTTCGTCCACTAGACTTTTTTGGGAAGTCATTTCATCAGCTAAACATTTGACACCAAGATACTTTAACAATACAACCCCAAAAAAAACAGATTTTTCATCTAGCCTTATTTTCAATTATGTTGTATAACTAGGATCTGTTGTAAATGTATTACTTTATATCACAGTTATTGTCTGTTTATATAAACTGAGGTATTAGTAATTTTTTAAGGAACAATTATATTCCTGTGGGAATCACAGATGCTGACGAAAAAGCTTAAAAGTGATATTTTCAACGTTAAAATACTTCTACTTCAACGTTTGGGAAACATTGTGCTATTCTGTTTGGTTTCGCTAGTGGCAGAGATACTATACACATCATGGTTAACTTGTATTGAAACGGGAACATTGCTTAAAAGGTGTTAAATATGCAAAAAAAAAAGGTGCAAAAATATGTGCAATGTGACCCAAGTGGAGTCCTACACGCTTTTTGATAGTGTTTGAAAATGTGACCAATGTTTTCAACAGGTGCAGATTCTAGGCAGGCTTATCTATCGCTCATATATCTGCTTGAAAAACCTCTGAAAGTGTGTTTTTGAACAGAAATGACCGACTTACAAAATTGCTCTCCAAGTCCCAACAGCAGCAGTCACTCAAGTATCGAACCACCAGTCCCCGGATGAAATCAATGAGCAGGATACTTGCCACCGTGAAGATCATATCAATGATGGAGAGCTTTAACATCTCCTGTAAATAAGATAAACAAAATAAACAGCCTGCATTTACCTTCCTTGTGCAGGATGAAATTTTACCCCTCCGCAGACCATCAGTATCTCCAAGCAGAACTCTCAATCAGACCTTTGGATCTAAACCAAGAGAAAGACAGCGCTGACAATACTTTCATTAAATAAAAGCCAGGCTGGATATTTCAAGCCATGTATCCAATCCATATTCCTCTCCTCCAGAGGGAAACATACTTTACACTGTTTGTCACAATAATGCCTTTAATAAATAACAATTTAGCCTGCAATTGAGATGCTTCATTAGCTCACTCAAAAGCAAGACTGTGTCATAGTTGGAGAATGCTAAGCATGTCTGCTAGCTTGAGTGCTCTGTACAGATCTCACATACATTATCAAATGTGTCTGGGTATGTCTCAATATACAGTGGCCCCAAATAGCATTTGGACACATAGGCCACACTAAAAAAACTTTGAATTGTATAACAAAATATCAAATCAAGTAGCATTTATTTTTTAGAAATATAGCACAAACATGCTTTTCAGTCAAAACATTTGACAAAATTAGCTTTGTTAAGTTTCTACTTATGAAATAATAACTATATTGTTGAAAACGAAGACAAAAAGTCTTGGACTGTACATATTCATTTGTTAATGTGATGAACTACATCGAGGGGTTTCAGGACATTTTAAGGGAACTGACTTCACACAGTCATGAAAAAAAAAATATTAATTTGAGATCAGCTGGTTAAAAACAATTTAAAAAGTGGCTCAAGTTCTAAGAAAAGCTCCAGAATCACTTGTTTGCAGATGCCGCTTTTATATATATTTTTTAAATATTATATATTGTTTTATATTTTTGTATCTAATGCAATGAAATTCAGACATTTTTAGTTGTGACTTACATAGATTTTACACAGATTGTATTGAGGGTTTTGTTGTTGGAAGTAAAATTGTATATTTTTGGAAAGAAATTGATACTTTTTTTCAGAAATTAAACTCATCTAAAGTGACAGTAAATCCATTTCTATAAAAGATTCAAATATATAAGAGATTTACTATTTCAAATAATATAATTTCATTAATGATGATGAAAATTCAGCTATGACATCACAGGAATAAATTACATTTTAATATATATTCAAATAAAAAAACAACTATTTATAATAATTTTTCACAATATTTCTGTTTTTACTGTATTTGTAATCAAATAAACTTCTTTCAAAAACATTAAAAAATCTTACCATTTGAACAGTAGTGTACATAACTACATTATATTTTTTAGAGCTTCATTTTGTTTGGCCATATTTTCAGAGTGAAAAAACATTGAAAAAAAACAAACAAACAAAAAAATAAATAAAACAACTATATTTTATATATCAGGAATTGACTGGATCAAAGACTATGAAAATATTATGATTACTTGGTATAATAATGTTGTGTCAAATAAAAAACAGAATTGAAATAAAAATCTCAATTTTCTTTTCAAGTTTCAACTATGCTATGTGATATGTTGGCTTATCTGAAGGACATTACTGGACCCTTACTATACCCCCTGCAGTTTGCTTACCGAGCAAACAGGTGCATGGATGATGCAGTCAATATGGGACTGCACTTCATCCTGCAACATCTGGACAAAACAGGGACTTATGTGAGGATCCTGTTTGTGGACTTTAGCTCTGCTTTCAACACCATCATCCCAACACTCCTCCAGACCAAACTAACCCAGCTCTCTGTCCCTAGCTCTATCTGTCAATGGATCACCAGCTTTCTGACAGATAGGCAACAGCTAGTGAGAATTGGTAAATTCACATCCAACAACCGCACCACCAGCACTGGCGCGTCCTCTCCCCACTGCTCTTCTCCCACTACACCAACGACTGCACCTCTAAAGACCCCTCTGTCAAGCTCCTGAAGTATGCAGATGACACTACAGTCATCGGTCTCATCAAGGATGGAGACGAGTCTGCTTACAGACAGGAGGTTAAAGAGCTGGCTGTCTGGTGCAGTCGTAACAACTTGGAGCTGAACACCCTCAAAACAGTGGAGATGATCGTGGACTTCAGGAGGAGCCCCCCTGCACTCCCCCCACTCACCATCATGGATAGCACTGTAACGACAGTGGAGTCATTCAGGTTTCTGGGCACCACCATCTCTCAGGATCTCTGTGTTGTTGTTGTCTCAGTGTCCTGGAAGTTTGTGACACTATAACAAATTCCTTGTATGTGCAAACATACTTGGCAATAAAGCTCTTTTTGATTCTGATTTCTGATTCTTCTTCTGATATCGATCGTTTGATGTTAAATCAATGTTCTGATTTCATTAATTCATTAAAACATTATATATTTCCTACTGAGTAATACATCAGAAAAAAAATTAGGGCTGCTCAATATGGGGAAAGAATGTCTCTAAAAATTGTGAATGCGATTAAAAAAAAAATCCAGGTTTGCTGTGCTTGTTTGTAGGGCTGCACAATTCGGCCAAAAAATTGTGATTAATATCAATATCACTATAAAATAATAAAAACACTGGAGTTGCTTGTGTGTAAAAGAACACTGTGCCACACTATATGCAGTGCATATATGGGTCAAAGACGAAAAAGGGTTTAAACATAAAGACAATACTGCTTTAAATTGCTGTTATGTTAAGTATTTTTTTTATTTTAAGTTTTCTGTTTAATGTGATTGTACTTTTGTTTTTTGTTTTTCTGAGCAACAAATAAATATCATACATTTTCCCCTGATTTACAGAAGACACCCACTAAAATGTCATTCAGTGTAACAATCTTGTCAGGCATATTTACATATTACATATTAAAACTAAGTACTTTCACCCCAAATACTAATTAGCTGTAATTTTAAATTTTTTTTTTATTTGCCACTATCCTAGGTTTTGCCCATTTCTCAGTAAGAATTTTTACTCATTTAAAACCCAATAAAATTCAATATGCTCACTTATTCTTTTATATATCTTAATATGTACAAGTCAGAATAAGCATGTTGTTTGAATTTTTACATAACTATAAGTGTTACACTGAATGACAACGGAACATTATTTTAACCAAATTTTGACATTTTACTCTTCAAAAACTTATTTGAAACCTTAAATGTAGACACTTTACTCTCATTTAATGTGAACATAAAATCACTTTTATAAATGTATTTTGATGTGGACATCTTAACGTCTTTGACCCATATATTTAATTAAAACACAGCCTTTGCAACTAGATAAACACACTAAGCAATATTGCAATTCCAATTGTATTTATTAATCAAGCAGCCCTAGAGAAAAGGTTGAGAATTAAATAAGAATGTAAATACGACTCACAGCAGAGCTCATACTGTTGACTTTATCCAGGAGGGCAATAATCAAACTGTAGAGGTTTCCAAGGTACAACACCAGAACTCTAAACAACAAAGACATATTTCCCTTTTGATAAACAAAATATAATAAAGATTGAGTAAAACCACAGCAGCCAGTGATTTTCTGACCTGGCAAGCTGGAAGCGGAGACTCGTTCTGGGGTGGTACATCTCCAACTGTGCCACTAACTCAAAGGCTGAAGGAGCAATCATTGTGATGAGGGACACCACCACACTCACCTGATGAAGAAACCCAATACACATACAGTATAACATCACTCATCTTCCTCAAATACACACCACATCATCCCTAACACTAGATTAAATATCTGGATGTGGCAGACATCAGAAAAAGAAGCAGCAGAAGAAGAAAGAATAGTAATTAAATAATTAGAAGAAAATTAAATATAATAATAATAAGAAGAAGAGTAAGAAGAAGAAGAGGAAAAAAAGAACAACAAAAAGAACAATGCTGCAACACAATTTGCATACAATCAGTCCTAAATAATATTAAAAATTAGAAATGGTGTGTCCAAAACCGTAGTATGTTGAAATGAGTCTCCCAAAGGTAACATGATGGTTTACTATTTCTGGATGAGGATTCGATTAGAACTACAAACACCAATACATTTTTTTTTTAAAAACAACAAACATGGCAGATATACGAGACCGACAGACAAGTAGAGAAAGGGGTTTGTGTGTTTATCTAACCTGATGATAAAATCTTTATTTATTGTTATCCACGTTATATCTCATCTGCAACAACATTGTGAACTTTTATAAAGATACGTTTGGTCATTAACTTTTAAATGCATCATCAATGTGCCTCTTAAATTGAAATTAAATCGAATGAAATGTGGATGGATGTTAAATGTGACAAGATGATTGACAGAGCAGTGTAAACGGTTACAGGATGCACGTAACAAAGCAAAAAAGTGGTCCGTTAAAGATGTAATTATGACAAAGTATTCCCAAAGCTTGCCTACTATTCTGCTACATACTCAAAACTATGCACTATTTCCCTTCACAAAAAGTGCACATACTTTTAGGGCATAGTAGCCAAAGAAGAAGAAAAATAATTAAATAAGAATTAAATAAGAAGATGATGGAGGATGAGCAGAAAACTCATGTAATCTCTAGGCCAAGAAGAATTGTTTGTGAAGTACTCATGTACACAACGTATAAAACAACATAAAAATTCTAAGAATACCTCATTCTTCTCCCAGAGTGTTAGCTCAGGTTTCTCCTGCTCTAGTTTCTGAGAACGATCCACCACAAAGTAGATGATGTAGATGCTGCCAGTCAGAGACAGCAGGACCAGAATGTTTGCCAGAATCCGCAAACTGATCAGTACAGCTCTGTTGGGATAGAAAACAACACAGTCAGATACACCTACAGACATCTGATCCTGTATCATCCTGAAAGGAAATTATTTAGCCTTAACGAATGGCTGACTCTACATTAACCCACTTACATAAATCAATTGACATGAACTATTGATTATTCACTCATATCTATTTTATGTGAGAGTTCAAAGAGTTATTTGAGAAACCTGAAACTAGCGCTAGGTAACTAAGTGACATCTGCATAATGCTGCAATAGACCAATCAGAATCAAATATTATAGAGAGCTGAGTATAAGAAAACGTCTCAGGTTACTTATGTAACCATGGTTCCCTGAGTAGGGAACGAGACACTGCGTCCTCTAGGGGTCGCTATGGGGAACGCCTCGTCGTGACCTGTGTCTGAAGCATTCATTGAAAAAACACCAACTCGTTGGCCGGCGACAGCCATGACGTCACTATAGTATAAATAGGTGCCGGGAGCACACATCATTCACTTCTTCGTCTGAAGCTTGCATCCGCAGCATGGCAAGAAACCTAGAGGACGCAGTGTCTCGTTCCCTACTCAGGGAACCATGGTTACATAAGTAACCTGAGACGTTCCCTTTCTTGGGAACTTTGAACTGCGTCCTCTAGGGGTCGCTATGGGGAACGGTATACCCATGCCACCATGCTGAGGGGAGTGCATGCTAGAACCATGGCGAGCACTAAGTACCAACTCTACCATATTGCTATGGGAGTTGCCCCTGGGACGTTTAGACGGCTGTCAGTGACGTTATTCCCTACGGCCAA